ATTCCTTCTCTGTAATAAAGGAGGCGAAAGGAGGATGAGGAACAGAATGATGGAGATAGTAAAGTAGGGCGAGAGAGAGAGAGAGAGAAAGAGAGGGAGGGAGACAGGAAGAGAGAGAGAGAAAGAAAGAGAGAGAAAGTGTGTGTGGAAGGGGGGGGGGGGGGAGAGAAGAATGAAAGAAAGAGAGAGAAAAAAAAAGGGAAGGGAGCAAGGGAGGGAGGGAGAGAGAGAGAGAGAGAGAGAGAGAGAGAGAGAGAGAGAAGGGAGCAAGGGAGGGAGAGAGAGAGAGAGAGAGAGAGAGAGAGAGAGAGAGAGAGAGAGAGAGAGAGAGAGAGAGAGAGAAAGAGAGAGAGAGAGAGAGAGAGAGAATGAGAAATCGACAGCGGGGAGAGAAAAAGAGCGAGAGGGAAGAAGTGGGTAACAGCAATGCATAACGAAATAATAACACTAAAACAAATAAAAATGTACCCGGAAGAAATTGGAAAACTAGCAAAATGAAAAGAAAAGAGAATTTGCAAGCATCTGCTGAATTTGCATAGGCTAATTTACAACGAGGGAACAGGAAGCAATGAGATTTTCACCGTCTTTGTATACGTTTGATTTTATTCTGAGTTTGTGACAAAATAGCAATTACAATAATAATATTAGGGTCAATATCATAACACTTATGTGCTCATTATGATCCTTATTGTCGTTATCATTACTGTTGCTATCATTACTGTTATTACTATTATCATTATTATTATTATTATAATTATTATTATTATTATTATTATTATTATAATTATTATTACTATTATTATTATTATTATTATCATTATTATTATTATTATTATTATTATTATCATTATTATCCTTATTATTATCATCATTACTATTATTATTATCATTATTATCATTACTATAATTACTACTACTACTACTACTATTTATATTATTATCCTAATTATTATTATCATTATCATTAACAATATTATTAATATTACAATTGTTGACATTATTATACTTTCTGTTTATATCATTATCATTGTTATTATTAATATTACCATGCTTATTTTTTATATTATTATTATTATTATCATACTCATTATCAATATTATTATTATCATTATTATTATCACCACTATCATTACTACTACTACCACTACCACTACTACTACTACTACTACTACTACTACTACTACCACTACTACTACTACTACAACTACTACTACTACTACTACTACTACTACTACTACTACTACTACTACTACTACTACTACTACTACCTCCACTACTACCACCACTACTAGGTATAGTGGTATTAGTAGTAGTAGTAGTAGTAGTAGTAGTAGTAGTAGTAGTAGTAGTAGTAGTAGTAGTGTGTATGTGTACGTGCGCGCACTTATATACATTTATATTCCTTTTTCTATGTCTGATTCTTTATTCCCGTTTATGCCTTACTATCCCATACTCATAGGCATTCATTCATCGATTCGCTGTGTCTTCCATTCGTTCTGTTTTATTTTTTACGTCCATAGCGATAGTGTTCTTTGTGCCATTATTATTAATTAAGGCAGATTTACAGCCAAACTTACCTATGGATTGGAAAATTATTGAAGGAAGACTCGTCTATTTTGAAAGTGGATTGGGGAAGAAGGGTTGTATTCACTTCGTATTTTCTTGTACATTTTAGGCTTTATGAATTTGGTTCCTTATAGCGACTAAAGGAAACTTGATGTTCACACTGTAGAAGTTCTTATAAGTATTGTTATTTCGCAATCTCATTGTATTTTTGTACAGTTTTGTACAGTTTATTCTTACCATTATTCTTGATAACCTACCTGTCTATCTATCAGTTTATCCATGTCTATCGAGAGAGAGAGAGAGAGAGAGAGAGAGCGAGAGAGAGAGAGAGAGAGAGAGAGAGAGAGAGAGAGAGAGAGAGAGAGAGAGAGAGAGAGAGAGAGAGAGAGAGAGAGAGAGACAGAGACAGAGACAGACAGACAGACAGACAAACAGACAGACAGAGACAGAGACAGAACCAGAAAAAAAGTTAAAGATACCGAGAGAGAGATAAATAAATGTTCTAAAAAGAATGAATAAATAGATTGAGAAACAGGAAGTTGAAGGAACCAGACACACTCCTGTATATATCGGCCAGACAGGACCCTTCCAAACCAGCCGTCCAAAGGTAATTCGGTTTCCATTATATTAAAGCCGATTTGTGTACCTGATGCACTGCCTCGTGGACAGAGGCAGATTATCCACAGGAGGAGTATGGAAACATTTTCGTTGAAGATTGGGACGTACTTTATTCTCTCTGTTGATGCAAGTCTAATGGAAAAGGTCAGAGGGAGGTTGGGGATGGTTTATGAGGGTGATAAGTGTGTAGGAAAATGTGGCCTACAATTCTCCGCGTGTATAAACAAAGGGATATGCTTGCTTAAACTTTCAGTCTTTCACTTGTTCACTAACTGGTTTTCTTTATTATTTACACACTCACTTATTCACTAATGCATTCACTCACAAGGATCCCTTATTCATTCACTTGTTGCCATGTTTATTGGCATATAGTTTTTTCTTCACTTATTCACTCCCGGCTTCATTCATTCACTCATACTGACTATCAGGATTGTTTAATAATTTGTCTGTTCATTGTCTCACTTACTCACTCACAGAATCTCACTCAATCACTCACTCCCTGACTCACTCATTCGCTCTCCTAATCACCCGCTTTCTCACTCAATGGACCATTGAATGAATTCGCCATATAATCGTGTAGTTAGTGAATCGATTAATCAACGAGTCAGTCTCTCTCTCTCTGTCTCTCTCTCTCTCTCTCTCTCTCTCTCTCTCTCTCTCTCTCTCTCTCTCTCTCTCTCTCTCTCTCTCTCTCTCTCTCGATAGACATGGATAGACTGATAGATAGATAGATAGAGAGAGATAGAGTTAGAGAGAGAGAGAGAGAGAGAGAGAGAGAGAGAGAGAGAGAGAGAGAGAGAGAGAGAGAGAGAGAGAGAGAGAGAGCGAGAGAGAGAGAGAGACAGACAGAGAGAGAGAGACAAACAGAGAGAGAATAAGAATAATCATCTCCTAGCAATCTGCTGAACGTCACTTAAAAAAAAAAAAAAAAAAATCACACGCAGACACACACAATAAGTTTCTTCCGTTCTCTGCTGGAAATGTTTACAAATTACCGCTTGTTGACTCAGGCCCACGGGGATACAGGGGCATTGTTTTGTCTGGAAGTCGTACTCGATTGGGTACTTCTATTCTGGGTAGAGCCTGTGGTGCTGGCATTGTTTGTGTTCTTATCATGGCACGTCTGCCTGTGGAAGTGGTGATTGCCTTGCTTTATAAAGTCATTCGTCATGGTGATCATGATGGCTGTGACTACATACCTCGAAGGTGTTACATGAGGTTTCTTTCTCGCCATAGGTTCAGGAAGGTACAGTATGTTTATGGGTAGAGGTTATTAGTAGAATATAAGGGAATCATCACTTATCTTCCATTCTTTATCTTCTTTTTATTCCATAATTATGTCATATAGGGTACTGAACCCTCAACATCAGTTACTTAACAGATCGTTGGATATAAAGCATATGTATGTCAAGTATAGGGTCATTGAATATCTATCTATCAATCTATCTATCTATCTATCTATCTATAATATATACATATATATATATATATATATATATATATATATATATATATATATATATATATATATATATATATATATATATATATTCATTTACTTATTTATTTATATACATATATATGTATGTATGTATGTATGCATATGTAGATAGAGAGATAGGTAGATAGATAGATAGACAGAAAGATATACATACATGCATACATACATACATACATACATACATATATATATATATATATATATATATATATATATATATATATATATATATATATATATATATATATATATATATATATACATATATGTGTGTGTGTGTGTGTGTGTGTGTGTGTGTGTGTGTGCAAGTATCTAGCACACAGGAAGTTAGACAGACAGTTAGTTCATAAATGGAATATCTATATACTCGAGATCAAAAGTATTCGGCTGTGTCTTTCCAGTATCAACACTATGAATTCCTGAGAAGAATGCCATTCATACCAGGCAAAAAGTAAGACACTGAAGGTCAACCGGATTCCGAATGGATTTTTCTCATAACAGAACGCGATCAATACCAGAAAGCAACAGACTGATTTGTCTCGCAGATTCTTTCCTTCTTTTTCTTAAATGACTATTAGTATGGCATTCATTTACCTTCGGGTGTTCTCTCCTGGTCCCCTTTGCTATCGAAAGCTTAACAAAATCTTGGCATTTGAACAGTATAATGACATGCAAGCTCCAGCGAAACCAGCTCTGTTGACAAAGCTAAGTGGCAGCTCGAGACTGTACCCGGGACCATGCACGTCTCGGTTCCTTAAGATCGATATTGCCGTTCCTTCGTGGCCATTCGCGACGCACCTTCACACTTAATATGGCAGGAGTTTCTAATGGAGGTCATTGTGAAGGCATTAATAGGATTGTGATCATCTTCTCTTCTCTTTTTTTTTTTTTTTTTTTTTTTTTGTCTTTTTTTTTGTCTCCCTCTTGTCAGTCAGATTTTTGTTTGTTTGTTTGTTTGTTTGTTTTTCATTCATCTCTCTTTTTTTCCTCTTTGTTTCTTTTAAATTTTGTATTTTCTTTTTCTTTGTTTTTTTTTTTTTCTTTCTCCCCTCCCCGCCATTCTTATTCTCCTAATTGTTTCTCTTATATTTCTCCCGTCCTCCCTCCTCACCATTTCCTCTCATTCTTCCTCCCTCACCCCCTACCCCCCCCTCATCCTTTCCTCCCCTTCCTTCATTATCTTCCCTCCCTCATACCTAAATCAACAACAGGAATCATCATCGGCCATTGTCTTTTAAATCTAACTATGTCGTCCTTTTCCCCTAATTTTCTGGCCCAGTGTCTAGTTTCTCATTATTTCTCTCTTCTTCCTCAG